GTTGAAATTCAGCAATGTGCGCTTTTGCGGGCAGCCAGAGATTGGGCAAATTTGCAACCTTTTTGGACGTTGTTTATGTCAACGTCTTGTACACCATTCAAATGTGGAAAAGTTTCAGAGTGGCGGCATTGCAGCGAAGTGATGGTTGAAGTTGGCAATGACAAAAACCGGAACTTGCAATTGCGCATCTGAATTTGCTTCTGCATGCGCATTTCTGCCAGATTGTACCCAGGTCGACCACTTGAAAGAGGCCTTGAAGAAGAGCCAAACGATAAGAGCCTTAGAAACTGTCGTCAATATGAGCCGGTAGTGTTATCTTGCAGAATTCCCTTGTATTTCCTAAATGTTTTAGGCCATTAAATGATATTAAAATCATGGGTGCGCGAGAATAGTTGCAGTTTACAAAAAAAATCATTTGTATTGAAAAAAACTCTTTTGTGGTCAAAACAGCAAAGTCGACAACGGGCAGCATTACCGAGAGCTTCCAAGATATTACGGACTAATCTCAAGTCCGTGAGAATATTTATTAAGCAACGAAACCTGAAATTAGAATGCGATGCCATGCACCTTTCGGAATTGTGCTGTACCTTGGAAACATATGCAGTCGCATAATATCACATTTATGTGTATTTGTTTTGACCATTCTATGACAGTTTTGGTGTATATATGTTACAAATGGGGTATTGTACATTTCTTCATTCTGAAACAGATTGCGATTGCCAATTTGGATACTTCCTCCATCCCAAATTATATGAAGCAGTGCGTTTTGTACCATGTGTTATAATTTGTGCTATTGTGTGCGCGACTAATGATATCCTTAAAGGATTCGCGTATCTCAGTGTGACTGATTGTACAGTTTTTCTGTTAATTCAGAGGAATCGGCCTTGGTTCATTGCCGCAAGCGATGGCCCAAAGGACGTGGTGCGATCGTTGTCGATACATCAGGTGGATCATTTAGCAGTGTCAGATGACCACCATGCCTGGGCACATTCTGGGTGTACATATCGTGCGACGTACATGTTTGGTGCAGCGATTGGGCACCAACGACAGGAATTCCAAAAACCGCGCTCCAATTCTTTTCAGATTCTTTAGAAGTACCAAACAAGAAACGCACTTGGAACTGGGGTAAATGCAACAGCTTTGACCAACACATCCAAGTAATAGCTCAATACCCCATTGACACAGTTCTAACCGTGCATCCTAGGAAACCGTGTAGTCTACACAGTTTTTGGAGGGTGCTCGGTTGAAACTGTGTCAATGTGTGTACAAACTGTGTACTTTTCGGACCACATTTGCCGAAAGTACACAATTGGATTTCGAGGACACCGTGTCAGGACTGTGTCATCTGGCCTGTTTTATTCCTAATGTCTGAATGTTCACAATACCACTAGATTTACTGACGATAAAATGCAGGGGCTGGCATTTTCAACTGTATGCAGGTATTGGCGAACATGAGGCCTTTTGAATATTGCGTGAATTCAAGATAAGCGCATTTCAGAAATTTATTGAACGGCATTTACAAATGGAAGAAATTGAATCGGTATGACACATGTGGAGAAAAATGCACTTTGATTCGGATCGAGGGATTATGTCCACTTGCCGTCCCTGTCAGTTTAGCAGCAGTTGCGCAAAATCTCCCATAGTCTGAGAATTCTGAGGTAGGCGACACATCTGACGGCCACATCATTTCCATGTACGGCCCAAAATATGCCGTACTTATCTCGGTATTGGTATCCACCCCCTGTTGGTACGCACACCCCTCCTTGGGGGTCGAGAACCGCGTCACCATTCACCTCCAAACATCAACGGAACGAGCGAAGGCTCGGATGGAGGCAAGGGAAGTCGGCGGCTGGTGTTGGGCCGCGTGGCCCATTCTGGGCCAAATCGCGTTCCCTGCGATTCGCGCTTCGACGGGAGAGGGCGGGTCGAGAGAATCGGGAAGGAAGCCCGAGAAAGGCCGCAGGGTCGACCGGCCGCCGTTGGGGGCTGCAGCGCAGGATCGCCGGGAGGCGATCGACGACACAAGGCTCGATCATGGAAGCGGCCGAGGAACCAAGGCCGCCATGGTTTCTGGAATGAGTCCAACTGCTCCCCGGCCAGCCAGAGCGGGTTCGGCGTGGCTCCTGCCATGGGGACCCCAAGGCCCAGAGCCAGGAATGGGGAGGCGACATTGCTGGTCGAGGTGGCCACTGTTGTGAAACCCGTCTCGCAAAACTGCCTGCAAAGCGCTGCGGAGGCCGTCCCCAGTACGCACACCACACTGGTTACCAGGCCACAAACCCAGTTGAAGATCCCGTCAGCCATCCCAGCTGGCATCAGCCTAGGAAAGCGCCGGCGGCCAAGCCCGTCATCTCGGCGCGGCGCCCCAGCGTGTCGAGGCCCATGTTGGTCCTGGTTCATTGCACTGCGGAGGCAAACGCGCCTCGAGCATTCCAGCAAGTCCCTGTTGGGCCCAAACGCCTATCGCTGCCGCCTGGTGCAGCCCGCCAGCTCCCGTGAAGAGGATCACACAACTGGCAATAATAGAGTTGTCATATTTTGCCCCTTTTGGGCATTGCACAGCCTATTTTTCCAAAATTTTCTTTGGATACTCCTTGGATCAAGGGTCTAAACTTCTATAGTATCCATGATCCACTATCTCTATCCACCACTCATTTGAGGGGTGCAATACACGCCTGCTATGAATTGTGAGTCGCATTCTACAGCAGCCTCCAGCTTCATTCTTCGCTTCATTTCAAGCCAATAGACGTTCATATTTTCTTAGACCTACTTCCTCCGTCCGGAATTAATTGTCCTCTATGACTTTGGCACAATACTTCTCTATCACAAATACTTTAGTTTTTAATGAAATTTCTTTCAAAGTTGTGCCTATGTCTCAGGAGTGTGCAGTCAAAATTTCAAGACGATCTATCAAGTATTGAGAATTTGGCAGTACTTTGTAGCAAGGGGTCTCCAGCCGAAAAACCACCCGTTTTCGACGAAGTCACCGAAACGGGCGTTTTTCGCGATGGTGAGGGGCACGCCTTCCCGGCGGCGAAACAAAGCCGCCTATACAGAACTTTCAACGCCGTTTAGGCTGAAGGTGGGGGCGGTCCTGATGAAGAGGCAGGGCGACAAAAAGCGAGTTCCGGCAGGCTTGATCACCGAACTCGCCGCGGCTTACGGCTGCAATTCGAGGACGATCCGGCGAATCGGAGCTGCCTTCAAGGCCCAGATTTCTGGGCGAGGAGTTTTCGACCTCCATCGCCGCCGTCAAGGCAACTGTGGGAGGCGCCCCAATGCTGACGACAAGGTGCGATCGAAGGTGTTGGCGATCTCCCCGGTTAGGCGGCGAACGATTCGGGAATTGGCTACCAAAACAGATTTGCCAAAATCGACAATTTTTGAGCACTTGAAGGGAATGGGTGCAAGAAGGATGGGCAGGTGGATCAAGCCTTGTCTCACACAAGAGCAGAGATATGCTAGGCTGCGTTGGATCGTTGGCCACATACGAAAAGTTGGCCGGAAGTGGGAATTTCTCAATTTTGCAAGCACGGTCCATATCGATGAAAAGTAGTTCTATGTGATGAAAGATGCCCAGAAAATGTGGGTTCTGCAAGAGGATGAGCGTCCCGGTGCTCCAAAGGCACAAAGCAAAGCTTTTGTGAAGAAAGTGATGTTCTTAGCTGCCATAGGGCGGCCCCACAAGCGGCCAAATGGGGCCAAGTTCAATGGATTGATTGGGATCTGGCCATTCGTGAGGGAGAGTTTTGCGGTGCGTTCAAGCAAGCATAGGGCTACCGGAGAGGCAGAATTGAAGTTGGTTTCAGTGGATGGGGATGCTTGGAGAGACATGATGGTGGAAAAGTTTTCCCTGCCATCAGAGGTGCTTATAAACACTTGAAGAAGAATGTTGTTGTCCAAGTTGATGGGGCAAAACCGCACACAAAATCGTCGATTCAAGCATTGATCGAGGCGGAATGCTCCAAGCAAGGTTACAACATAACTGTGGAGCAATAGCCAGCACAAATTCCTGACTTTAATGTCTTGGAACTTGGTTTTTTTCATTCGCTGAAAGTCCGTGCATAGCAGATCAAGGAGGGAGGAAATCTGCAGGACATCGTCGATTCTGTGACAGCGGCCTTCTATGATCACGACCCCAACACACTTGAGCGTGTTTGGCAAGCGCTTTTCCACGTGTTTGATGCCACGCTTCGCCACGACGGGGGCAACGACTTCCCCGTGCCACATGTTGGGACAGGAAGGGCGCAAATGCACGGGGATCTCCCATGGACGTGGAATGTGAACGCACATTTTTTGGACAAGGCGAGGCGTTTTTGGGGGGCTGCTTAGAGGAGTTGGGACTAATTTTTTTCCTGAAAACTGGTAGTTAAGGGTTTCAGAACCCAATCTTTCCAATTTTAAACTCTTTTTATGATTTTGACATGGTTCATGTAATGTAATTGATCTCTTAAATAGAGGACAATTAATTCCGGACGGAGGAAGTATTTGTTATCTTCAGGTTCTTCATCATTCATAATTTGTGTCAGTGGTTGTTCTCAGCTGCCTTGCGCGGTGTGGCTTGAGCCGGTTTCACAACCTGACAAGCCCATTTGCATTGGTGATTGCATGGAAGCAGCTGGGCATGTAACTCTGATAACCGCAGAGCTGCCCTTCCTTCACTGCCCTGATGTCGGCGCCCCATCTAGAAGCAGCTGCAGCCCCTATCCCGCTTCCCCAGTCCCGGGAAGTCCGGCGAAAGGACTGGCCCGTCGTGCATCCTGGAACGGCTCTAGGCGATCTTCTCCCCATCTCCCAGGAGATGTCTTCTCAGCCTCCCCGACGGCTCTGCCGCGCCCTCGGACCGCCCCGCCTCCTTCGTGGACCAGCGCCGACGCTCGCCAGGTTGAGAGCCTCGGATGCTCTGACTGGCCTGCGCCCGCAGTGGCAACAATTCCACTTTTGCAAAAGCGTGTATAGCTGGCCTCCCCCTCGTCTCGCTGCCGTATCGCTGAAGGCCAATGGCGTCTTTGCGCATCAGGGGCGCCTTTCGGGCCTACGACATGCGGTGGAAGCTGGCGGCGTTGGTAATCTTGCTCCTGGCGCCGGCGGGGGCCGGCCAGAACGACCGGCTGGACAGGCGTATTCAGGACAACGAAGACATAGTCCGGACGCTGCAGCAGATAGCCACGAAGCTGTACCAGAGCCGGAGCGACATTATCGGCAACTGCTCGTGCACCGTGCACGCGTGCGCCAACAAGTTCCCGCCCGGCAGGGAGTGCTCGAACAAGCTTGGCCACTCAGAGGAGATTTGCGGGCACTGCGAAACGCAGGGGAAGCTGGTGAGGCGCGCTCGGCATCGGGCTGTTTGCGCGGCCCGGCGATCCCTAGCACAGCGCCTCGTGAGTTCATCGGCCTACGAATGGCTGTGAGCATTCGGGTGCACACGGATTGCAGAATTTTTCATTCCCGGGAGCTTGGCTGAATGGCGGTGCTTGGGTTCGACTTGGCGCGGTGGCGGGACCCGGTCTCAAAGCGAGACGAGGCTGGGCCGGCTTCCTGGGGGGAGCTTGCGCCCTGGCTGCCAGGGCGGCGGATGTGGCCGGGCCAGGTGGCGAGGCGCGGATGGCTGAGCCGGGACCGGAGGGGACGGTGTGATGTTCTCTTTCAGCTGCAGGTTGTCAGGCGCTCAGCTCTGTCCAGCGGGAATTTCGCCCATTGTCTGAACCGCTGGCAGACTACTCATGGTGGATCCCACTGCGTAAATCGAGTCAGAAAGTCTTCCTGACGCCAAATGCGTTCAGTGTCGTCTTGAACGGTTGCCTCTGCGTTTGTAACGTGCCTAACCAACAGACGCCAAGCAATGGGTCCAATGGTCCAATGGTCCACGCCGTGGTCCAATCCTTGTACCAGGGTATCGGCTGTCAATATTGCAGCTAGAACCAAGCGGTGAGAATTGTTTGGTGATTGTGGAAGCACCCTTCGAACGGGAAACATGTTGTTCAAGACAGCACACAGTGAACGCAAAGAGATAAGCACAGTACTGACTTTGCTGATGCTGCTCTCAGCTTGACTTCTTGAGATCGATGGTCAGGACGCCCCCTGGTGAAGACCCGGAGGTGCTGAGCATAGAGGTGATAGAGTCCGTGTGTACTTTTCAGCCTTTGGACGAGGCCTTTGTGAAGAACGGACTGGCAGGAGACAATGTGTGGACGTACATTGCCACCACAACGGGAGTGGACAGGTGAGCCACATCCAACACAACTGCGCACATCTTGGGGTGCTTCATGCAATTTCTTGGCTGAAGGAAGTGATGTTTGGCACTGTCCAGCTTTTTCAGAGTACCAGAGGACATGGGCAGCACAATTTGTGTTGGCCACAAATTGCAGTTTTCGTGAGTGTCCAGTTCCTGGTTTCAGGGCAAGTCTGCTGTTCAAAATTCTTGCATCGATGCCATTTGGACGAGGTTGCTGATCGCCAATCCTTGATAGCATAATGAAGGACAGCTTTCTTAGCAGTGAAAGCATGGTACAGAATGTGCAGGCATTCAGGCAGTCAGCAGTTTAAAATCTGGGCATGATGGTTTTTGGCCTTTTTGGGGGAAACACGTTTGCCTGTTGTACTATTTGCTTCGCATGCTCTCCATCGAGTGCAGTCTGGGCAAGACCACCGCTTGGCAAGTTTCTGGGAAAGCAGAGAAGTCTGCCAGTATTTGTTTTGCCAAATCTGTGGGTCCATGGCGTGAAGGTCCTGCAAGTTTTCTTGTCTTTCTGTATCTCCTAATTGAGAATCTGAATCCCAGTTGGATTTCGAATTGCTGGCTAGAAGTGCTGGAAAAGTTCATTGGTTCAGACAACTTGTCTGGCAGATATGCTAGAATAGTCCTTGTTTCAAATAATGTGCAGCAACAAAGCCGCTGACCGGCGCCAGTTTGGATGCAAGTGAATGTACTAATTGGGCCAGTGGACTTGTAGTTCCCGCAATTTCAAGAGGTGCCAATCGCCACTGTATATTCTGCAATGCTCAGCACCTCCCACAAGGGAGTTCATAAGTTGGTTGTTGTACATGTGATTGGCACCTTCCCACATTGGTACAGTGTGCGTATCCATTACGAATGCCAATGTACCTCCTGTGCCTTGTTCAACACAACGATGCAGGGGAAATTCGACTTGCTGCAACTCTTGCCTGTCTGATCATGCGATTGCTGCACAGAACATGGCCATCCCTGCCAAGTGTGAGGGGATTGCCAAACCCTGATCCTCAACAACCCATTGGGAGCTGCAGAAGATTCGATCCTGTAGGTGTAAATCCCCGCCACACAATTTTTGAGATATTGAGTTGGCACTCTCTTGCGGACATGGCAGGAGCAGACTTCATGTTGGCGTTTGTAGTGTTGCTTTTTTGAGTAAGGGAAAGCGCTATGTCGATTTTGTTATGTTTAACGTCAATTTGATGTTAACCTCAGACAACCTCCCCCCCTTCTTAGCATCAATCCTTATGTCAATGTGAGGGTGACTCAGCAACATTATGACACAGCGATATACAATTTCCAGCTGGTTTTGAAAAAAAAGTCAAAGGTGTTCTGATTTCAGTGGGTTGAGGAAATGAGATTCTAAATGGCATTATAGTTGAGGCATGCAGGCTTAATTGTTGTATTCTGATCAATTTTAAGAGCTTTTCTGAGCATCAAACAGTTGCAGGTGGCTTAGGAACAAATCAGAGTTGTTTCCAACTGATCCGTGGCATTTTGGGGAATCTTTTCTCCTTATGTCGATTGTGTTGCAAGTGTAAAATCTCCCAACCTCGAGGTTAGTGTGAGCTCACAGGTCTGGAATCCCCCCTTTCTTAGCATCAGTTTGATGCTAAGCACAACAAATCGACATGGTGTCCTCTCTGAAAATTCTGCATCCCAGCATATAGCCAGGATCTGGGACAAGATGTTGCTCAAAACGTGCATGCCCCAGGTAGGCACCATTTGCAGAACCTACAACGTCAGGGCATGTATTCCAACTGGCCAGCTGGGATGATCCACCACAAGCCATTGGCTGTTGTCGAACTGATGCGATCTTATTTGACTTGTCGCAGCTCTTTCAGAATAGCTATGGGCAGTTCTTGAGACACGTGGAAAGCATGCACTTCCTCCATCCAGAACTAAATTAGCAGTTTGTTCGAGAGGCTACATTTATATCATGCAGTTGCCCATTTCCCCTCAAAATTGGAGCAGAGTACCCCCCAAAAGCTTAGTAAGTAATGCCTAATTTTTATGGAGAATGGATATGTACTGGACACATGGCAGTGCTTTCAACTCTTGCGACTCTAGCTAAGAACTCGAATCTTTTGAAGGTCTCACCGGGCAGCCCCTCCAAATGGGCTCTCTGATTGGGTCGACTTGCGACTGGCAATGCATAGCGCAAATTGAATACCTGCAGCTCCCATCATGGCTGCACTTTGGAGATGTCCCAGCCGAACAGGAGAGACTGCGGAACCGAGTTCCACACAGTTCGATCGTCGATTGCGACTGTGGTGTTGATGGACCAGCGAGGATTTCAGCTCCGGATTGGAGACACAGACATTGGCGAACTTCGCAATCATGGTTTTTTCAGAAAGAGCTGGTCCCATGGGCGTGGCCATTATATGCACTAAGACCACCATGAAGAGTTGGAAGAATCTGATCGTCACCTCGCTGTGTGGCATTCAAAAGATTGCTAGGCCTGCCTGCGCTGCGCAAATGCCTCAAAGAGCATTGTGAGGGCCGTTTGTGCCACTTTGAAAGTCGGAGCTGTGCCAGATTCTTGTGGGCTCCATCAGAAAATGCAAGAACGCTACCAAAGAGACTCTTGGTGCTTCTGATTGAGATCTACACCTCCTTCCTAGTATTTGATGGGTTTGATGCCTGCTTGAGTGGTGGTGCTCCCTATGCTAGGCAAGCCATCAATTGGAGACCTGTGCCAAGCAAAGAGCGTTCGATGCACATAGCTATTCTACAACTAGTAAGATTGGCAATGACCAATCCCAGACATGTTGGTGTGCTGCCATAGATGCAGGTGCGGATTGCCAGCCAACATTGATGGCAATGGGCAGACTCAACCAATACTTTTGCCGATCTTCTTCTGTGGAGTTTGTTGATCTCTCAGCTAAAGCCTGAGCAATGAGGGAATCTACCCTTCTGGTACTGCGATGGCCACCAAATGGGGTATCGCTTGTGCTTAGGGCTTCCTTGGATCCAGGACACAGGGTTTATTCGCCTCACATAATGTTCAAATCAGGGGCCTGAGTTGTGTGGATTCAAAGTGTTACCCAATGCATAAATCTTACTTTCTGCTAATGGATTTTTGATAGCACTGAATAAACAGAGATTAGGTGCTCTGGTACAATTTCGAAAGATAAACACGTAGTTTGTTATACAATTGTGGCCATTCAACAAAATTTTATTTAATTCCAGATCGAGGAAGTACAATTCTGCATATTTTATCTAACTTCAGTCTATGGAGTTTCAGGGAACAGGTGATCAGTACAATCGAGTCTGAAAGTATCTGTTACATTTATCCCACCACTTATCTGTGCAGATATTCCTGTCCCCCAGCACTTTGTCCCACAATAGTCACCCTGATCTTGTCTGTGCCATTTTGCAATTTCCTCCATCGTGAAGAGAGAGCGCCCATGGTTCAACGCCGCCAGCAGTGGCCCCAAGGATGTCGCTATTGTGCTGGACACATCAGGTGCAAACTCATCTGCCAGCAGACATGTTTTAATGAAGTCCCTGATGTATTGCACTCCTATTTTTCCACCCAAGAGTTGGGAGTTTTCACAGCAGCTCTCAGTGATGTGTGTCAGCAGTCAGGCGCAATGACAGAATAAATCTTGTTAGGTGTTTCCACACAGAAAAAGACTGCTCTGCTGACTAGGTTGTCACAGCCCAATGGAACAGTATTTCACCAATGACAAGTGATGCTTGGAGTGCTGTTGCAAAGAAACAAGAGTGTGCTTACTTTAGGAAACACATGATAACAACGTGTTCCTTCAGGAACCATACTATGTCGATTTTGGTACTGGTAGCCACAAATTGATACTGTGCACCCAAGAATTGATGCGGCATGTCCCTTATGCATTGCTAATGTCGAGAATCTGGGTCTTACCTTTCTCCATCGCAACTTCACCATCTGTACCTGTTGAGTGCTGGGTCCAGTAAAAGTAACACGTTGTCTTTCATGCATCATGAAACATGATAAGCAAGTGTTGCAAAATACTGGGTTCACAGTGCCGGCACTCTTGATTCTGGGTGTTGGCGTGATTCCATTGTCGAGATGGATTTCCTTGAGCGCACAAATGCAGCGTCATCATGGCGTTCTACCTTGCTGTTGGCAAGGCCTTCCTGTTGCATTATTCTCAAACTTGTATCAAAAATGCATCAATGTGCATGTTTGAGCTTCCATTTGTTGGTGTTGGCCATTCTTGGACCATGCATTTCTTGGAAATTGCTCATATAGAAATTTTGTTTGGACTTAGATATATTACAAGTTAATCATGTCAATTGATTGAATGCCTAGACTGTGTGGCGGTGATGTGCAGCCAGTATGAGCATGGTTCATGGGTCCAAGGGAAAGACGAGGTGGGAGGTAACAAGGGATGCAGTCTCAAGGCTGCTGGAAACATTCGGAATATCAGACTTTGTGGGCATCGTGACCTTCAATTCTGAGTCCGAAGTTCTTGGAGGAGAAACGACCCTGGTTCGTGCAAACAACACCAATATCGACATGCTTCGGAGCCACATGCTGGACGTTACACCGGATGGAGCAACCAACTTCAGGGAGGGTTTTGAAGCCGCGTTTAACATTCTCATTCGATCGAGCAACCTTACACATGAGAAGGACATAGCTCCAACCTCAAGTTGCACAAAGGTACGCTCTTCTTGTCTTTTGCTGAACAATCTCTTTGTACGTGCACATTGCCAAGTGTAGCAGAATACACTGGTAGAAAACGGCATGTTTGCGATGCCAACTGCGATGCTATTTCGACACAAAATGATGCCATCACAGTGGTTGCGGCGGCATAAAAAATGGCTGTGATGGCATCAATTTGTGTCAAAACGGCATCGCGAGCATGCTGTTTTCTACTAGTAATAGCCGTTTGCATTCCTTTTTGTTCACCAATCGTTTGCACATAACTGAGCAAAAAATTGTACAGCAAGCTTGTTGTGAACCGCATGTATCTGTGTTTTCTAAATATCACAGTTTAAATGTTTTC